TCATATCAGACTCATTTTTCCAAAGTAATGATTGCTGGCTTCGAATTGCCTTGCCTTTCACCAGATGTCAGCAGCGAACAGAGAGCAATGCCTAGTACCTGTGCAAGTGGTTCCCTGTATTTCCTCCGCTCTGAGTAGCAATAAATTTTGCCAGATAAATTCTTGCCATCCGTAAGTCTTTGTACAACATTTTTTTTTATTTTACTAATGTGTGAGAAGTTGGAAATTTCTGTTTGGGCGTCTGGACCATCTTTCTTTTTCTGGGAGGAAAGAGAATCCTCAAGAAGAAACTTCTGAAACTTCTGCTCTGGTGGTGTGTGCTTTTGGTACAGCATAAGTAGATGCAGAAATAAAGCTAATGCCTTGGCAAAAATGTCAGAAATGCTACTTAGATGTAAAGGTTGTTATGTGTAAGAGGTTTTTAGTAGCCCACTCAAATACCTGCTGGACTAATTGTGCCTATCAGGTATATCAAATCTCCCAGGCCTGATGCAGTGTAAATCTGTGAATGAAGCAGGACTACGCAGTCTGCTCATAGCAGCTACTGAAATAACTGAGCTAGTCGTGAAAAGTGACTGTGTAGGCTGGGGAGAAAGAAATCCTAGAACATTCTGATAGCAGGTTTGCTTGTCTCTGCTCCATTTTTAATTTTGAAATGATTTCTGAAGCAATATAAGGTCTACTCCTGAATGCTGCGTTCCTTCTATTTGCATGACCCAGCCTCCTCTCCTACGAGAAATCCAAAGAGCCTGAGTTGCACCTGAGCTTATATTTGTGTTAGGCACAGCTGACATCACAATGAGCCTAAATCTCATTGTCTCTTTTTTTCATTATTATTTTTTAATTTCCCAGTCTGCTGAAAGACATGGATGTGATCAGACCATGGCAATTTTCTATGCAGAGGGACCTGAAGATTGCATATTTTGAGAAAGGCAGCACAGACTCTGTAATTCTCTCTGGGTCAGAAATACCATTTCGAAGAATAGTGAGCTGGTAATTTCCCTGATGAAAAGAACTGGGAAAAACTGAGGTTGGGAAAATGGCTGATGCCGGAATTCAGTAGAATACACGGTCTGATCTGACTATTTATGTTTGCAGATAGGTTGAAATTCAGAATTTTCAGGAGAGGTCAGACTTTTGGTATTTCCCAGTGTTTCTTAAGCATGGACCCCATTCCTGTTTGGGATGCTATCTGTCAGACCTGCAGTGGATCTCCAGGTATATTACTAAGAGGGGTCTGTTATTGAAAATCTTCCCCAAGTGTGAACTAAATCTGCTTCCACAAAGCCAACAGTGGTTTTGCCAGGCTGGGTTTTAATAAAACAATTGTTGGTGGGGGTTGGCCTGCCTTCTTCTCCTGGGAGCCCCTGGTGACCCTGATGATAATTACGTTCCATGTGAAGAGAATGTGTGAGCTTTGCCTGCAGTAGCTTTTTTTTTTTTTTAATTTTAATTAAACACTGAAAGTAGACACAGTTGCATACTACTTCTGTAGTGACAAGTGTTGTAATGTCAGCATCAACACATTTTACACTCTGCTGTTTTTGCGTACTGAGAGTAATTCTTGCAGGACTGAAGTTCTTCACAGTAGATGATATTATTCTGTGCTTCCAGCGTACCACATCTCATTTGTCTGGAGAGCCCCCTTATTGCTGCTGAGGTATCTGTTACCATCTCACTATCTACTTAAAGACCACCACTACATGCTTCAGAAAGCTATCCATTTTCCTGTTCACAGGGACGAAAGCTAATGCTTTTTCTGTAACCTGCTGATTTCTGATTTTAAAAAAGGATGGTAAATGGAAGTGGTAAAAAAGGCTCTCTCCTAAACTGGTAAAAGAAAGAGATGGTACATGGTGTATTTGGATACACGACTTTCATTTGCCTTACCAACAAAGCAGCACAGTAATATATGTTATCAAATAAGCCTTTGAAACAGAAGCTCCAGAAAAGTGAGACCCAGAGAAACACAGGCTTTAAGCATCATTGTAAAAGTTTAATAAAAAAGATCGATTGAAGTCTGTTGATATGTGTTATGAAAAATGCCTTGCAGACTAATTTCCTTGAGCTGAGAAGCTTTAAATGAGTATGTTAACAATTCTGTTTTCACACTTCCATGAATTATGCTCAAACGATGCCCAATTGTTGTTAAACAACATAAAAATTTGATATGCTGTCAGTCCCATTGCACAAAGCAGCGCAGCCGTTTACTCAGCCAATTTCTGCTGCAAACCCAGCACTGGGGAATGGAATGACACAAACAAGGTAATGAGTTTTAAGCTAATTATGAGGTGACAACAGTGTAATTGAACATAAGATAATGAGTGGAAAACTAAGGTTTGTAGAACGGTTTCCTTGGCCTCAGGTTGAGAATGGCAGAAACTGAGACTTAAAAATAACTTTGCCCAAATCTAGTGATTTAGAGACTGCAGCCAACTGCTGAATGGTCAGGAAAGCCATCTCCTTGCACAGAAATGATAGCAGCTGACAACCAGTACTTTTGTGCACTTGTAAATCTCCCAAATTGAAAGAATAAAGATATGTGGTTGTTTGAGGTGTTCAGGGTATTCCCGTTTGGTGTTATTCCGTCTGTACTTCTATGAGATGGAGGCTTTGGACAATTATTCCCTCACCATCCATGCAGAGCTTCCTTCCCCTCTGCAGAAGGTTGGCCTGGGAGGTTCCCTACGGCCCTGCTGTGTCCAGGAGCCCGCTACCAGCCTTGCTCACCTTCCCATGGGTACCCTTGGCCTCAAGCTTCCCCAGGGGCCCCGCAGCCCTGCTGCCCCTATGGGTGTACCTGGGCTACAGTCACCAGGTAATTGACTGAGAGCAGAGGAAACCCTGCCTTGGGCTTTCTTTTTTCAGTGGCACTCAAATCATTCTGAACACCATCATGCAGTTAAGACTAGGTAAATCTTTTTGAATGCAATTGGAATTCTAGCAGTGTAGCTAGCAGATGTAGGTGTAAAGAAAGGAAAGAAAATGCTAACTGCAGGCTTGCTCTGAGAGTGGGTTTTTTACGTTTCTTGCAGCTACTGTACTGTCAGACGGCTCGCACCCCTGGTGTGGTCTGTGTTTTCCAGTCCTATAGCACATCTCTTGCTCTGGTGCAGCTTTCACTGAGGAGACCTAAACCTTTTACTGACTAGTGCTAACAGTAACTTAACCAGGCTGGCGGGTTCACACTTACCTTCTCAAATGTACCTGATGTCTATGCCCAAAGCTGTTTACAAGCGGTCTGGCGGAAAGAATCGGTGAGCTTTGATTCACGGCTGCAGCGCGACATGAAGGTACCCGGGCAGATCTGGGGAGGCTGTAAGTAGCTGGATGTCCTGACTTTGGGACAGACTGTGACACAAACCCTGTGCCTCTGTCTGACAGATGCACCTACAAAGAGCCTTGGGCCAGGGGCTAGCGGGAGATGAGCATCACAGCATGCCTGGGCCATGCAGCATGCTGTCCTTGCTGGTGCTAGAGCCTGTCTGAAGCTGTTTGGGGCCTATTCTTAGTGTAAAAATAACAAAAAAGGGCCTAATGTAGTTGATCTTTCCCTCTCTGAAAATGCCAAGGCTTTTTAAACTGAAGTGCTAAAAGCTTTGTAATGAAGTTCATAAGTACTGTATTTCTGGATATTTTAAAATCTGATTTACACTCCCAGACACAGATTGCAAGTGTACTGATAAACTGCATTGGGTTGTATTGTTCCAAATTATCGATAGGAAATCATGACTTCACACTGCATAACTTCTGTTTGCTTGATTCTAAGTGTTGAACATGAAGATAGAGTTTTATCAAATGCAGTATTTTCAGCTTTGTCAGAAAGTGTGGTGGTGGTTTTGGGAAGATATAAGTTTTTTTTTTAAAAGCCCCAAAGAATGTAAAGAGATGCCCAGCATGCTTCCTCTCTGAGACTCTGACACTCCATAAATAACATCTCATTGAGCTACGCATCTAAAAAGGCCACCAGAGGAGATCAAACTCAGTTGTTGGGGCTGTGAATGCATGTCATGGAGAATTTATTGGCCAGAATGCTTCTCCAGTTTCTATCTTACACATTTCTGATGCAGCTAAGCATTGCCATTTTACTGCAGTTTTTAGGAATGCCAGAGAAAAAGGTAGCATCTGTTAACAGCATAGAACAAGTAGAAATGAAGTATTGCTGTTTGACATGGTGTACGTGAGGAAGAACCCTTTGATTTGGATTTTATTTATGTACGAGTATTTTTACAGCTGCCTTCTACATGCACATATGTTCCCATGCCTATTAATACGAGACCAGTGCTTAAGTTTATTAATCATAGAAAACATTGCTCCTGTCTTACCGATGGAATGGCTGGACAGGCTTGTAGAGGAATGAGTGATCTAGGCAGGGACACACAGAGCTCAGGGACGACTCCGAGTCCTTGGTGTGAACCAGTCTCTCCATGACTTCAGGGTTATAATCAGCAAAATGACGCAGAATCTCCAAGGGAATTAGTTATTCTACAGCAAAGATATATTGTAATCAGTAATGGTTAAGTGCTTTCTGCTTTTTTGTTTGTTTCTTTCTGTAGGCATAAAGATAAAACTTCTGTAGAGCTGACCATTTAGCTTTGGCAAGATTTTGCTGATTAAAACTTAGTGGTGAATGTGTTCACAGCACATGAGAGGAACTGTGATGAAAATACATTTCCCCAAAGCCATCCTGATTTTGGTTCCCTATTATCAAGCAATGCGGTTGCTCTTCGGTGGCTTATATAATTCCAGAAGGCATCTGTAACACGTTTGTGTTAACTCGACTATGATAGTGGATGTGCCTAAAAGATAACGTTATTTACAAAGAGCTGACTACTCTATTTGCATCAGCCCAATGTTTGTCCCTGGAAACAGATTTATATATTTTTTATGACTTCCTTGGGTGTGAAATATTAATGTGCTTAAAAATGAATGCTATAACTGGTAAGATTTGTGTTCAGCAAATGCATATTAAATACATTGTGTTTTTTTTCTCCTTCTAGATCCATTCCAGTTCCTCTCCAAAAGTGAACCGGTGAAGGAACAGGCAGCTCAACCAGCGTTAGCACGGAAACCCACTGTTATCCGAATTCCGGCTAAACCTGGGAAATGTAAGTTCTTCTCCCAAATTGTCTGAAAAATCTTTACCAGAAAATAATTTTAATTGGGACTTACTATTTCCAAATCGAGTTGCTGTTAGCTTGCTGTATTAGCTGTCAAAGGAATCCCGCAGTGCAGTTGAACACGACAGATGGCCAGCAGTGGAGGGAGGCAGCAGTGGCTGGCAGTCATGTTCCTCTCTCCCTGTCTCCCATCTACCTTGTCTGGTGCCCCCCTTTGCACTAAGTTTGATTCTCCTCAAACCTTATGGAGCTAATGCGTATCAGGGGGAAAATGGTGGCGGGGAGAGATCTAAATGCTGGCAGAGAAGAGCTGGAGGAGACCCTTGCAGCAGAAGCAAACTTGCTCAGTCAGCTAACCCGTACTGCTGAGCTGTACCTTTGGTCAAATTGACTTATGTGCAGACATCAGCTGAGGATATTTTAATGCTGCTCCCAAGCTTCCTGTGAGCAGGGCCTGTACTTGTCAAAGGAACCACATTAGTGTATTAAATTTTGCTTCAAAAGCTTAGTCAGGTTGTAAACATAGTTTTTACAGCTTCCATCAAAATCCGTGGTCATTTAAGCTGTAGTGTTTTGGTAGTAATTGAGGGAATAAAAAAGGCATGCGAGCATTCGATTGCAAAGAACTGATTTGTTCTATTTTGTGTCAAGGTCCTCCTGTCTGTAGTTTTCTGATAGTTATCTTATCCCTAATGCCTTCCATCTCTAATCCTTTACAACTTTACAAATTACACTGACAGTATCTCAGAGTGGAAATTTATCAGAGAGCCACAAGGTCTTTGTGTTGATCTTTTAGTCCTTGAGTACATAGCTGCTGAAGTTTAGCCTTATGTTTTATCCTCAAAACTTACGAAGAGGGATCAGAAGATAGCTCTTGAAACCGATATTACAGACTCAAGTTGTACTAAATTGTGTAGGTATAGAGCCAAAGATATCCTGGTGGCATTGCTACTAAGACTTTCACTATTCCCTGAGATCCCTTCTCTCTCCACCTAACCCCTCAGGTTTTCTTTTCCTCTGTGTATGTGTGAAATGCAGTGGAAGTGATGAAAAATGCAGAGAAGAATGAAGATAAAGCAATTAGGAAAAGACATGCTGCTAATACATGATCATATATAAAAGCTTTTTTCAGTTAGAAGAATATGTTTACAAACTAATGGAAGGAACCCAACATAATTAATCTCCATAAAGAAGATCTTTCCTTGTATTTTTTTTTTTTTAATAGAAGACTTTTTTTTTTCCTTATCTGGAGTCTTTTGAACTTGCAGATAACCAGTCCCTTGCTGCTCTCTAGTGGCAATTGAACTTCCTACAGAGACTGCCAGTCAGAGTGTACTTAATTACAATTTTTAGAGGGATGTGAAGGACTGCTTTATAAGAGGCTGTGGCTGGAAGATTAATGGGATGTGGGGGAACAGGAGCAGGTTCCAAATAAACAGAGTAACCTTTTGGCAGATAGGAACTGCTGTAGAAATGTAAGCTGTTAAAAGCTAAAAATCCCAAGTGCAATTGGGCCAAGGAGTGACAAGGATATAGTAACATTTACCTTGTAAGAGAGCTACATGGTCTCGATACAAGGGGTCTTTTGCCATCCTTTGTCTGTTAGGAACCAGTGCAAAACAAAAAGAAAAAAAGCAATAAACTGGAGAAAAACAAAAACAAAAAAATACAGCACTACCAAAAAGAGGGCAGAGCTGTATGTTTAAGAATTTGATCTCCAGTGCTTTAGAAGTTCCTCATTAGCATTTTTGTTGAGCTATGATTAGAAAGGAAGCATTAAACTTCCACTTCAGTTTTTACACTTAGAAATCACTGAAAGTAGCACCTGCTTTCTAGTTGTTGGAGGTTTTTTTTTTCTTCCTTTATTTCCTTTAATTTTGGTTTATAAACAGCAAAGGCAGAGAAGTTAGACCATCTGTGCATATATCAAGATTTGAAGTGGCATCGATAAATAAATCTGTCATGTTCTTTGTATATCAGTAAGGTATGTTGAAGAGAAGATATCCTTTGCAATTACGAGCAGGTATTGTTTTTACTTCTCATCGTACTACCTTAGAAGAGTGGATGAACTTCATTAACTTCTATTCCCTGTTCTCAGTCCCTGCCAACACAGTGACTATTACCTGCTCCTGAGTGTTATAATGTATTTATCCTTGAAATAATCCACTTCTAAACATCAACACCAGTCTTTTAGATCATGGTAGTACAACAGAGGTGTTAAAAACACCACCTCTCCTTCCTATGTGCTCTTCCTTTGTTAAGAGTACTTTTCATGAAATGAGCAACTTAAAGTTGTCCTTTCTGTAGAATCTGTCCTCATTTTTGTCATTAGTCTATGAAAGTCCAGGCTGTCTGTACATCTTTTTATGTAACTCCAGGACAGTCTGGAAATCAGAAGAGTGTCTGAAGTTTGTGGTATGAAGCGAATTTTCTTGGTATGCAAATGCATTGTAAAATAGGTGACAGTTTCAGTATACAAAGACAAAAATATTGGTGAATATGCTGATAAAACTTGACCAAGTCATTCCCAGAATTGGATGGCAGAGACATTTAAAACAAATCTCACATATCTCAGATTTTTGTATCTTTGTTGGGACTGAGATCATCACTCTTCCATAGTAAGAACTTTACTGTTTCCTCTTCTATGTCCTAAATTTGCTTAGCTCCTCACAGCCTACCAGGGAGCTCCTGTCTGTCTTTTTGTTCTATCACTGTGACTTTTCTAGAAGGCAAGAGTTTCTTTGCTTGCCTTTACCTTTCCGGAGATTCTTCCATCCAAGTCTCCTGATCTTTCAGGGTTACTTGAAATAACCCTCAGCTGTTTTCCAGCTTGAAGGATATTCCAGGAGCTGACAGCTGAAAAAAGTGAGCCAGTTTAGAAATGTGGCTGAGAGATGGTGATGGTGTTTCAGAGTATCCAGTAATGAGTCCAACATTCCCAAGGGTAGAAACTCTGCTGCTCATCTAATATTATATCAACAAGTATTGCAGCTGAAACCCTAGAATAACTTGCTGGTGTCCTGAGAGTAAAGTGAAGATTCATTATGCAGAATGGGAAGCACTCCTACAGTCAACATCAGAGGTACAATGTTCCCTTCGCTAGTCTTTTGATGGGCCTGCCCATTGGCTGCTCTGGCTTTGAGGAAGGAAGTTGTGTTCACAAAAAGATGCACTGAAACAAGGTGGATTTTCTTATCTATCTTTGGTCTGTGTAAAGAAGCTATTCATTAGATTTTCATTTGGGATTTTATTTTTTTTTTTACAGCTTTAAATGACATCCCTCATAGCCCTCCACCACTCCCAGCTGAAAAGCCTATTGGCAACACCTCTGACATCACAGCAGGCAAACCCAACAGTGGTGACCTAGTAAAAAAATTGGTAAGTTAAAACTTTTCCTGCATTACAACTTTGTCTGCTTTGGGTAACAGATCTCTTGTCACTCTCAATCCTTTTTAAAGCAAGTTATTTGAGGGACCAAAGGATGAAAGGGACTACTCAAAAATATAAGGTTTTCTTCTTTTAATTGCGTCCTCTAATTTAATTAGGTAATTTAGACTGCTGTCAGTTCTGAAAAACACTTTGTTGATTTTACTAAACTTTGATCACATTTATCTTCAATTTTCTGTATTTTGCAGCCGGAATCAAGGATACGCTACAATTTAGTTTCCAAAGCACTGCAAAGCAGCTCAAAGTGTAATAAGATTTTTATGGTCAAATACTGCCAAAGTCCTTTAGAAATACATACTTTTTTTACCTTCATATACACAGTACTTCTCTGTGTCTGAGCTGATGTCCAGGCAGAGAAGCTGTTCTGTAGATGAATGAAGCTTGCTTTCTTCAGCTCTTTTCTTCCAGTTGTCTTCTACTGGCCCTTGTCAGACCCTGAGTAGAACCATCTTTCTGAAAAGTAAGGCTCTGCTCTTCACTCCTGAGCAAATAATAATGGTAGACATTGTAGCTGAAGCTGTAGCTTCATTCATAGCTGTATCCTATATTCACTTTGAAACAAATTTACTAAAGAGAATTAAAATAAACTAGAAAATGAAAATAGATTTTCCAAATATTGAGAGCTGTGATGGCAAGAAAGGCAGAGAATCTTGTGGAAACCGTAGGCAGTAAAAAGATCAAATCAAATCAAAAGCCCTGACTAGGTGGACAGCTGCCAACAAATGTATTTGTGGCTACTTTTGCTAATAGGATAAAGGGGGTTTTAAACATCGTGGCTGAAGAGGCTATTCATAGAGGTCCTATCTTTTCTAGATAATGCTGTAAAAATAATTTCCAATACAATACATTAAATAACGTTTTACACAATACAATCCAAGAACATTTACAATATCCTTCAGATTACTGCGACAGGCACACAGAGGATCACTTCATACAGTAATCTTTGAATAACCTGTTACATATTTTGAGATCTCCTCCTCTAAACTGAAGTTCAAGATTGTATATGCTCATTTCAACCTTTTTCCATTGCCAAGTGGAGAATATTGAGAATGGATTCATATTAAAGTATTACACAAACCAGTGCTTCTGAAACTAGCAGTGTTCATCTGTAGAAGCAACAACAGAAGCTGTTGACCATAAGCAGCAATTGGCTCAGGTTTCATGCAGAAGAGGAGAATTTTTGATGTTAGGATACCATCTGAAAGTGTCAGGCTGTTTTCTTTTTAATCAGAAGTATTTAATCAGGAGCAGTCATCTGGGGACTTAGTCAAGAGGCAAAGTTCTTAGTCAAGAGGCAAAGTCACAAAATACATCTAGGTATTTTCTAGGTGGAGAAAAATCACAGAAATTGTTTACCAGTTTCAAGCACATGTCGACAAGACATGTAAGCAAGAGCATTGAGTCCTTTTAAAAGTTACTGGTTCAGGAAGGTTACTTTTGATCGTAGATTTAGCACTCTGATTTACCGTGCTGTTGCAGACAGCTGCGCTTGGTCAGCTGAGCTGGCGGTACTCTCTGGCACTGGGATGAAAATGAAGAGCAGGAGTCAGAAGGATGGTACCTTGTTAATCCATTACTGTGGTCCAAGCCCTTCAGATATGTCATGTGTTCCCCTCTGTTGACTCTGCCACAGGGTAGCAATCTCTGGCAGGATTGGGATGGGCAGCTGGGAGCAGCAAAGCCTTGATCTGCCAAAGCAAGATTCAGCAGGATTTGTGTGTTAGATCTCTAGGAAACATCCTTAGATGCCTTCTTGAATGAGAGCTAATGTTATTTGCAAGAGACTCTTTCCTGTGCAAGTTACATCAATGTCATATTTTCTGCTCTAAGCCTATTCAAAGTGTTTCATCTGTCAAAGTTAAATCAAAGCCAATAACGTAACTGCAGACAAGTTGGAATCCTATGGGCAGTGAAATTGTGCATTTGTATGATTCGCCTGAGTTTGTCTCTTGCCTGATTCCCACGTGATAGGATAAAGAGGGCTGGGTCATATCTAATATACAATTTAGGCTGTGATTCAGGTGAGTCAGCCAAAGTTATTTACATCTCCCTCTACGTACAATAATAATATGCTAGAACACACCATGATATTTATTACTTTAGTCCCAAAGTGCCAGAAACTCTTGTTTTTCTTGTCTGTAATTTAAAATAAGAAATGCATCATTTAAACAAGATCCTTTCTGTTTCTTAGGTTTAATGAAATGCCTTCTTCTTTTTAATCTTCGTAGGACTTGGATCATTCAGAACAGGCTGGAGCACCTCAGCTAGAACCTGCACTACCTCCAAGGTAAGCACAATTTTTCAGTGATTAACTCAGAAACATCTCTTTTAAGTGAGCATGTGTAGTTAGTCTCAGTGTAGATACCACCAACTCTGATCCTAACTCAAAGAGCTTGGGCAGGTTTTGCTTTTAATGTACTCACTAATAAAGAGGCAGATCCAAGCTGCTAGTGGGTTCATACTTGTTTGTACGACATCGGTATGAGCAGTGAGATTACAGAAGGACAGCTGTTTGGCTCCTCAGCTAATGTGCAGTGGCTGCTGACAGGCATTCCTTTCTGCATCTTTAACCTTTTTACCCACAGCTGAACAGAGAACATCCCCTCCTGCATGTTGCTGACCTTTTGATCAACAGCACTTGCGCTTGTGGCTGGCTTGGAGTGGTGGAGGAATGGAGGTGGCAGATGCTGCCACCCTCGAAAGGGCAGATGCTGGACCTTCCCAGTGTCTAGCGTTCACTTCAGGCCTAAAACCCCAGTGAACCATCAGAATTAATTATAAGTTGAACAGAAGTGGAAACATTTTTTGAAATTGAAAAAAATAAGTCCTATTCAAATAGGAGTAGGGAACTCTTATCAGGGACATTAGTAAATCACCAATACCTTCTCAAATGGTAGATGACATTCACAAAACGTGTCAGATTCTCTGGAAGTTCCAGTAATGCACATTTATTGAGGTTGATAATTTTTACTGATCCTTGAGGAATTCATGCTAGCAAATAATTATGCTAATATATATATATGTGTGTGTAAAATATATATATGAGAGATAAAATTGTAGGAGAAAAGTGCAGTTACTCATGGAAGACTTCCCAATAAAAATTAAACAAACCTGTATTTTTGGAATCGTTGCAGTGCCAGGTTTCTTAATAACATGAAGCCAAAGTTTTATGGGCACAATGCTTGTTTAAAACAGAGGTGATTTTTTTTATTAGCAAATTACTGTTCACTCTCTTTGATTCTGAAAACTTTGGTATTTTTTGTCAGCACTTAGTAAGGAGGAATTTTATTTTTTTTCTTTTAAATTACCACTGTCAGTTATTAGACTTCTTGATTTTGTTTTCTAAACTACTGGTACACTAATGAGAGTGTGGTACCTCTGGTATTACCAGAAAGCTTGAGCATTGCCACTGCCCAAAAGTGACTTTAGGTGAGTGAAATCCTAGAGCATGAGCTAGTCTGATTCCTGAAAACCAGCTAGATCAGCAGAGCTTCTCAGGGCTTTCCCTCAGGCTCTTCACTGGAAGAACTCCTTGCTAAGGCATCTTCAGTCAAAGCTCTTTTTAAAAGTGGATTGCTAAAAAAAAATCCTGCTTATGTAGAGGGCTTTTGAGAACACTGGCAGGCTGTTAATAAAAGTGGTGGGCAGACTTGGAAATGTGAAGTCAAAGGATCTGTAAAAGGACTTGATCATCCAATCCCATTATTTGAAGGTTTTGTGGATTCCTCGAGAACTTCAGATATTTCAAGCTCTGCAGCCATGAGTCATGTTTCCTTATAGCATGCTCTATTGCTGGGGCTGTGGTGGAGGTTGGGGGGTGGCAGGCTTCTTAATATGCATATTTCTCAGATGGCTCACCCAATTTTTAGGCCTGCGAATGGAAAAATTGTACCAGCTCGACCTCCCCCACCTAAAGGAGTTCCTGGAAGGCCACCTCCACCAAAACTCTCTACAACCAAGACCTCCTCCCAGAAGGATGCTCTTTCCCGATCCACTTCTGACATTGCTCCTGATAAAAGACCAAGCAAGTTCAAATTGGGACCCAAGAGAACAAAGAGCCAAGTATTAAAAAATCAAGATCCAGCTTTACCTCCAAGACCTAAACCAGGTCACCCCCTCTACAATAAATACATGGTGAGAGCTGAGATATTCTGAGACTGGTGTTTATAAAAGCATGCTGGTGGAAATGGTAATGAGAAAACTATTGAGATAGGTTACTGTGATACGATTAGTACATCTATCAGCATAACCTTCCCTAGAAAATACTGATAAATAAAGAGTAATAAGCAGTGTGAGGTAGTACTAGAGAAAGCAATATATAAATGTGATGTATAGATGTATGTATACATGTAATTTTTTTAATATTATTTTTTATATATCTCTATAGCTTTTGATTTGTTGGGGTCTTTTCCACAGTCATCAGTTCTGAATTCTATTAGAGTACATAAAATGATGCTAAATATTGCATCTGTATAGAGCTATACCTTGTGTATATCAAAACACTTAACAAAATTGGAAGAGCATCAAAACATAAAAAGTAGCTTACCTTGCTTAATCAAGCCTGCGAAGAGCGAGGAATGTAACATTATTTATCTTTGGTTTTCATCGTACAGATTCCAACCGTTTTCATTATAAATTTTATATTTATATATATATATATATATATATATATATATATATATATGTTTTTAGTACTGCATGTGGTGTTAGGGGATAACACAGATCAGTGTTACAGGAGGGAGTTTTTCCCCAGATACTTAAAACTGGTCAGTGATCTGAACTGGTGACAGCTTGAACCAGTGCTATTGCCATTAAAAAAAAAAAAAGTGCCCACAGAACCACAGCATGAATGACAACATCAACATGCAGCACAGACTAGAAGCATTCTGTTGCCTTCTCTCTGGTCCTCACTCTTGTGTTTAGGTTCTTGGTGGTACAGAGGAGTGAGAGAGATAAAGGGGCATCTAAGTGATAGTAGGAACAGGTCTGACATGGAGGAAGCATCATGCTTCTTCTGTGGCACAGCCATTCCTGTTCACATAGAAAAACATGTGACATATCTTGGAAATTAGATTTTTTTCAGTAGCAGGTCGCCAGTAATTTCCTGACCTTGCATGTTACTGTCTATGAAATTTTCCTCCCAGGTCATTTTTCCACTGCCGTCCATGACAGCTGAATACATTTCTGTATTAGAGTGTTGCTGAACATCATGTGCCATATGAGATAATAAAAGTTAGGTGGCTAAGAAAATTTTAAAGCTGATGGCGAAACTTGGGTTTCTCGAAATGGCAGGTCATATCACCTGCAATCCTGCTCTGAAGGCTTTCCAAAGGAGCTTGTCATCTCCCACTAGATTCCTAAATTAGCTACCTGTATGAGGTGGTCAGAATACTTCCATTGCCTGTTTTCACATGCAGTGGAAATTTTGGGTGCTTAAAATTGAAACAAACTATTCCCATTTGCCTCTATTCAAGCTACCTTTGTCTCATGGAATTGCCAAGCAAGATTGCCTTCCCAGGAACCATGGGGAACTGTCCTGTAAGGTAAGACATTTTCTTCTGTTCATGAATGTTTAATGGGTAAGATTCCAGTTATATTAAAGTATCAACTGCTTTAGGCTTTAAAGGTTGCACTGAGAAATGCAATAGTGGTTATTAAATCCTTTTGTTTCTTTCATAAAAACAAAACAACCACCAAAACAAACCCTAATAATGGTGATTTGCCTCATAGCACCAGGACATTCTGCTTATGGAGCAGAGCAACAGTGATTACTTTGAGTGCCAGAAGGGAGAGGAAACTGGTAAAGTTCCTCTGTCTCCTCTGAAGGTAATCACTCCCTTGGCTGAGTATCTGAAAAGCAGGCAAAAGATGAGCGCTCAGTTTTACGAAGCGCTATATGTGATGTGTCAGTGATTGAGGCAGGGACTTCAAAGAATTTCCCTTGCTCTGTGCTTATACAGAACTTAACCTGTTTTAGGGCATGACTGTATTATTATCAAACAGCTGGTGTAGATGATCGCTCTGAGCAGCCTTTTTGATAAGCAAAACCTACATGGTTGAAATAGGTTTCTGTGCAATCTGTTGTTATCTGTTGTAATTCATGTTATTCTCTCCTTACCTTTGTCCATGTTGGGCTTTTTTGGTTGTTGGTTTTGTTTTCCTTTTTTCCCACACAATGAATTACTTTGCTTGAAAGCAATTCAGGCACAGTGGTTGTGGTCAGTACAATCTAAAAACTTCTAGGGAGTGGGCTAGAGATGAAGGCTCAGCATTTTGACTATAATTTCCCTTGATAAACATCCCACAGCAAATTTGTCATTTCTCCTATTATCTTCCTGCATGCTTGCTGGTGGCTGGCTCTGCCCTCTGAAATCCTGGGCAGGTGGCAGATGTGCTGCCCCTGCTGGGTGTGCTGGGGCTGGGCAAGGAGCAGTAACTGGCGACACACAGTACTGAGCAGCAGCAAGTTTGGCCACAGCCTTTTGCAAAGAGTTGATATCAGCGCTCCAGCCTGCTGACCCACAGAGCTATCTGAGGCTTTGTCTATACTGGGAAAAGTTTCACGCCCTCCCTTTCCTTTTGCTGGATCAGAAGTAGATTTTGGTGAAATGTCTCCTGGTTTACACTGGCCAAAGGCATACAGAATACAGGCCAGTGACCAGCACTTGTGCCTCCAGTGATGGTTCTCTGGTACCACAACAACATTGTGTCCAAAGTCAGAAAGTGACTCTCAGAGTACGTGACAGAGAATCGGTGTTACTGTCTTTCATGATTTATAACCTACTTGGATTTATTTGTGTTGTCAGGATTCAAACAACCCTTCAAAAGTTGCTGACACAAGTGCACCTCATGCTGTAGTCCTGCATGATTTTTCTGCAGGTAAGTAAATGTGAATATTTTCGAAGCTTGTTTTTCTCTGTGACTTTCAGATGGGGATTTTCTTAGGACTTGGATCTTAATCAGGAAGCTCAGCATGTAAGGTCTGCATGTAGAATTGTTCAAATCCATGGGTTTAGCTATAGTTGGGCCAGTCTTCTAGTTAAAGCTAATTTGTTTAGCAAGTATGATTAAGGTTTTACAAAAACTCATTCTGCTCTTGTCTGTAGTATTAATGTGTCGTGGTTTAACCCGGCCGGCAGCTAAACACCACGCAGCCGTTCGCTCACCCTCCCCCCTCCCTCTCTGGGACGGGGGAGAGAAATGGAAAGTGAAGCCCGTGAGTTGAGATAAAGACAGTTTAATAAGACAGGAAAATAATAATAACAAAATAATAATAAAAATAATAACAATAATAATACAATGGTGATAATAGGAAAGTAATAATAGTATGTACAAACAAGTGATGCACAATGCAATTGCTCACCACTCGCTGACCGATGCCCAGCCTAACCCCGAGCAGTCCGGCCCCCTTCCCCCCCAGCTAGCCACCCCTATATATTGTTTAGCATGACGTCAGATGGTATGGAATACCCCTTTGGCTAGTTTGGGTCACCTGTCCTGGGTCTGTCCCCTCCCAGCTCTTACTGCACCCCCAGCCTGCCCGTTGGCAGGACAGAGCAAAAGGCTGAGATGTCCTTGGCTTAGTATAAGCACTGCTCTGCAACAATTAAAGCATCGGGGTGTTATCAGCACTCTTCTCATCCTAAGCCAAAACACAGCATTCCACCAGCTACTAGGAAGAAAATTAATTCTGTGCTAACTGAAACCAGGACATAATGTTAAGAAGATTTTACTCAAAGAAAATCAGTGAGTGTGATAACTACCATTAACTGAAATGATGCTGTCTTGCAGAGCATGCTGATGACTTGGACCTTCGTTCTGGAGATACAGTTTGTCTTTTGGAGAAAATTGATGCTGAGTGGTACAGAGGAAAATGTGGGAATCGCACAGGGATATTTCCTGCCAGCTTTGTGAAAGTAGTTGTATGTAGGCTTTGTATACAGTACTACACACAATCCTAGTGCATTGGTTTTCTTGTTCTATGTTACTGAAGCTCCTGTGTGTTTAATTCCATTCACTGTTTAGATAATCTCTTTTCCCTCTGGCAGTGCAGAAGACATACCAACTTGTTTGCATGGTATTAGGAAGATGCTTGATTTGGCAGAACCAATTTGTGTTATAGGGATTATTTTCCTATTAGTTTCAAGCCAAGTGAGAAAATCATGGCCCTTACCAGATTCTCTTTGTTAACCAGGGTAGTTTCTCTGGGTCTACAAAGCAGATTATTTTTCACAGCAACATGTAAAAATCAACATGCAGTAAGATGATTGCTTTGTGCTTCCATGTCAGCTTCTCTGGTATTCTTGTCCCCTTGAACTGTGCTGGAATCACCACATTTGCAGCCAGGTAGGGCAGTAGAGGGTCAGGGCAGCAGCTGAGCCCAAGCAAACATTTTTCTTCCTTCCTAGATTTTTTTTCTTCCAGCTGGATATGTTCCCCTAAGTGGCAACACAAATGAGTGTGCTGGCACGTTGCAAGGAGATTGTGCTATTGCAAATGAGGAGCTTAAAGCAATCCTGTTACTGAATGTGACACTTGCCATTAAACTGCGGGCAAGAGCCGGGTGTTGTTTTGAAGCCCAATGGAAATGGATTGAGCAGCTCAGGTTTAAAGGAGACACAATAGAGTTTACTGCCTCGAAAGCTGAGTCATCTGTTGTAAGCTTGACTTAGAGATTGAAGTCCATTTTGTGCCAGTAGAAAGGGCCACGGGGCTATCAACCCCAGCCAGATGGACATGCACGAATGCTGAACTGGCACCGGGGTGCAGTGAAGGTGTATGGCTGGGCATTAAAGACATTAAGGGTCTACACTGAACAGGGCAGCTGACAGAATGAGCTGAGAACTGCTGCTACGTGGAAAAATACCAAGTGTTTGGTAACTCACAGTGTGTTACAGAGGGTGTCTGTTTGGCTTGTAATGGTGTTACTGGAAAAAAAAAATTAAAATTTGGGAAGTGCTGAAGAATTAAAAATAGACCTGTGGTTAGTAATCATGGAACCATGCTCAGTTGCTTTCACAAGAAAGATTTGTTAGCTACATTCAGTCTCTACACAAGCCAACAATTTAAATTATCCATGTTCTTGTTACAACTGAGAGCTGATAAGGAAAGGATTGTATGTTAAAGTAGTGGAATGAAGATTTGACATCAAATTCATCATTGCCACAGAGAGATAAGGCTTCATAGAAGCTAGGGAAGATGCTGTTCAAACACCTATTTGAGTTTTAATGGCTGTTTACCCTTTTGAACGCAAAAATATCCTTTGAGCAAATTTTTTTTTTTTTAAAAAAAAAGGACAGTAAACGTGGCTAATGCACTGAGTGAATTCTCCTATGCATTCATGTCAGCTTGGGTCTTGATCCAAGGCCTCCATCAGTACATTATTGTGTTCTACAATATTGAGCTGCATACTAGCTTGGTGTCTGGACACTGAACAGTAATACATAGTTTTTGCTTCCCATGGACCTTTCAGGGCTCCACAGCTATGAGCTTCTCTAGCAAGAGTACTGCAGAGATTATTTGTCCTAAAAGTCAGCATGATTTCTTCCAGCACATCACAGCAGCAATGAAACATTTTTATTGGTGTGGATGGGAACTGGCTTATGTGATAGTGAGCTGAGACCCAAAGCTCCTAGCCAGGTTCCCTAGGCTTGCAGTGTCATACTAAAGCTCCCTTCATATACCAAAAACACAGTCTTCTTGGGATAATGGATTGGTATATCCACGTGCTGATTTTCTAAATTATATTTCTTCCCTTCCTTTAATTAGCACGTAGTAGTTATCTACAGCTGAGTTAGGAACAATTAGTTTGTTTTCTCTAAACTAACCTTTCTTTAGATGCTGCCCCTACAAGTGAGATTTATCATAAGCTTTTGTTTTGAGTACAGCTGGCTACCAGAGCCCAGAAAAATATATATAAACACTAATCTTGTCTATTGTGATACGTTGTGCTAGTAAATGATAGAGAAGGATTATCAATTGGAAGGTTGGAGCTACATGCAACAAGCCGTAGTACCGCCTGGGCTCATTTTCTGTCAGCCAGCCGTGCTGCAAGTAGGAATATTGGGAAAGGCTAATAACAAAAAACATTTAGTGTTCCTTATTTGTATAAGATTGTAAAATGAGAAATCAGACATACAGAACCAACATCTACATTAATATGGTAAAATATCAGAGCATGTCAGTGATTATATAGCATCACATGGAGCCCATAACAGGATCTATGCTTTATTTAAAAAACAGGTGATTTTAACAAGTTGAAAGTTGATCATAGTTGTGTTGCCATGAGCTTAAAATGAAATATTTTTACTGATTTTTCTGTCTTATTAGATTGATGTTCCAGAAGAAGGCAAAAGGAAAAAAATACCCTGCTCGTCACCATCTATTAAGTGAGTCAAAGAAATAAATTCTTTCTTATCTTGATTTACTAGTAAGTTAAAAAAAAAAAAAAAAGGATACCTTTGAAGGAGGTGTTAACTGTGATGAAGTTAATATAGTTAGCAGTTTCTCCATCTATTACATAGCTATTCTACAAATTAAGTTCTCAAGAATAAAAGTTTATGACATTTTACTAAGGTTCATATTCAGGTAAAAAAGACTAAAAACTTACTTCATGTGTTCAAAAACCGGTATATCACTTCATAACAAGTATTTATGTAGATAGAGCCCCCTTGAACAACTTGCCTTAACTGAATGGTGGTTTGTTGGCTTTCATAACTATTTATTGCAGCAATAAAGCACATTCAGACTTAGGAACACAGTATGAAAGGAGTGTTGAGTTTGTTCTGGAGATAGATATAGCTTGTTCTAGCTGAACCTTTGTTTATTTAAACGCTGCTTCTGCAACTAAGCAAATACAGCAGAAAATGCTGCCGTCACCCTAAGGTTTTTAGGAAGATAGGAGTGGAGATGTGAATGAACCTTATAAGTTGGTTTAAACTATACTATGGAAAGAACTAAGCCTAGCTTCACTTTTTTTTCTCTTTACAGCATGACCTTTCTGAGAAACCATAGATGTTGCTTGAGCAATTAATGTATGAAATTATTACATTGAGGAAAAAGATGAATTAGTTTTTCAATGTTATACCAAATTGCTTAAAATTTGTCAGGTACATTGATGGTTCTTTCCTATTGCCCCACCCTGGGATTAATTTTACAGAATACAGTTTGTCAAAGTAAATTAAAACTAGCACACACACACACATTCTATTCGGGACAAATACATTGCCCTTCCCCCCCCAGCTCATCCTTGTTTTACTGTACCTGAATTGGATACTGGCTCAAAAAAAAACATTAAACTCTTAACAAAAGTATATCTGGACACTGACTTAGATATGGGAAAAAATGTAAAAATGAGAGAGGTAGCCTAGCATCAAAGTGATGGTGGTGGTGTTGTTTGGGATGTGGCCACTAATAGGAAATATACAAAGTAAGTTCCTTTCTTGTTTGTGCAGAGGGCCAAGATGCATAGCACGATTTGAGTATATTGGAGACCAGAGAGATGAACTCAGTTTTTCAGAAGGCGAAACTATTATCCTTAAAGAATATGTAAACGAAGAGTGGGCCAAAGGAGAGCTTAGAGGCGCATCTGGAATTTTCCCCTTGAACTTTGTGGAAATAATTGAAGATCTGCCTGGAACAGGTATGACTATGATAGCAAAAATCTTCAAGAACGTGGCTTTGTACTGTACACACACAGGCAGTGTAAAAGGATAGAGTCCAACAGGACAATGCATGGGGGAAAGAGGTGGAAAGGGAGATGAGAACAATCAAAAGAAACACTAGGACTTCTTAAGAAGTTATTCTTAATAATCATTTTGAATGTCTAAATCTGCTCTCATTAGTACATTTTGAGTAGTCATTGCCACTGTTCTAACCTATCCTTTGCTATGTTGGTATAGGAGCCGCACTGAAGAACAAGGTGGAGGTTTCTTCTTCCCTTCCTCAGGTAATCCAGCTTCACAGGCAGGGGCCAGAATTTATGTGAAGTTTCCATAGATTTACATAAAATTTCTATTACAGTATCAGATTAGCTGCACATCTTTAAACTTGAATGCAGTACAACTCCCACAGCACATAATGATGCGTGGTCACATCTAGAAGTCTGACAGTTGCTCTAAATTGAATGTGTAGCTTTTGACAAGTTAACGTATGCAACTTTTTTATCCTTTGTGCTTAAGCAAGTTGTTAGTTCTGTTTTGAGTAGCGTTGCAGTGGACTAGTTTTGAATTTACTAATCCTAGCCTCTGCCACCAGTGATCAAAAGGAATGCCTGTAAGCTTAGATGAAATTATGTAGTAATTGCTGCTATGCTGTTCTAGCCTACACCTTCACCAATAGCTGAATAGTATGAGAGAAAGTCTGGATACCCACATCTTGTACACCAGCGTTCAGGAGCTTAGTGCTGTTGCTTCGATTCATGCTTCTGAAATTAATGCATTTCTTTTCACTTGAACAGAACAACAGACACTCAATGGAGTGGTGTGAAGCACTTCATGATTTCACAGCAGAAACCAAAGACGACTTATCCTTCAGAAAAGGAGACTACATCCAGATACTGGAACGAGTAGATTCAGAGTGGTACAGAGGAAGGCTGAATGACAAGGAAGGGATTTTCCCAACAGTGTTTGTTCAGATCTGCTCAGGTACAGTGCTCTACTATATGACAACTCATTATTCCTTAGGCTCTGATGTTCACAATTGATTTCTGGGAGAACCCAACTCTTCCATTGCCTTAAAAACCATATGCCGCTACAGTCTTTAACATGCTAAAGCTAAACTAAGTGTTGAACCACAGTCTGAAATAATGGCAGTATATTACTCTAATTAATAAATAATTTGGGAAGCAAAACAGATTCTGAAATGGTTGCAAGTACAGTTTAGGTGCAGGTAGAATATGACTAATTTAGCTGTCTTTACCAGGAATTCAGGTGTATAAAAAGGGAGGCAGCTTCTCCTGCAGCTAAAGGGAAATACCGCAGTACGACCAAAGATTTGGTATAGCTGTAAATAACTACTATAATTCTCATAGGGAATCAAGGAATGACCTCTGCTTGCTCTCCTCAAGCTTCTGCTTAATCCTACAACCAATACAGTCAAAACCTTAACAGAGGACACAAAAGAATCACTTTTTTTTTCCCCTCACAGCTGGCAACTAAAGCCATGAGTTAAACTTGACAGGAAATAAATATCACCTGTCTGACCAGTAGCACACAGTGAGTACAGTTACACAACACTGCTGCATCTCCTGCTGCAAAAAAGAAAAGACAACTTTCATTAAGTATCTACACTGGAAAGTTTTGAGTAAATGGATTTTACTTTTAGTCCTTTTAGAAGGAAACCACAAGAATGCGTTGGTATTGTAAGATGAACTAGTGGCAGTAGAGATTTCTATTCCACTAGGAACAATGAAATTTGCCCAGTATCAGTAGTAATAACAGTTGGGCACCCTGCAGCACACTCATAGGGAAAAAAAATAAAAAAAATACCAGGAAGTTTCACTGGAAATAATGATATATTTGACTTGAATCCAAATAACCTGTCTCCTCCATGTTCTGCAGCCAGAGTAGAGATGTCACAGTCTCTAGGAGGGAAGAAAAGAAAAGCCAAAGCTCTTTATGATTTTCATGGCGAAAATGAAGATGAGCTTTCCTTCAAGGTAAGTGCCTCTTTTGTTAGCCCAATTTTTCAGAAAATTGTGTGGTCATAAAAAAATGCTAAAATAGGATTTATCCACAGTGAAAATAGGCTTGGAACAGCAATGAATCAAACTCTAGAAAAAGGCATAGCTATTAGCATGTTTTATAAAAGACCTGCTCAAAACATTTTTTGTCCTTACCACAACTTGCTTCACAAAATCTTCACAGAAGACGACACTGAGAAGAGGTCAGGAATTGAAGTCTTCCTCTGACTTATCTAATCCAGCAAATATGACAATACCAACACCTTTTTTGTGGTATATTTGGTTCTTCATCATTTGTTAAGGCCAAGGGAGACTATTTTTTTGTCTGGAAAAATGGCAAGAAGATGATGTGATAATAGTAAGAGTGCTGGTGTTAGAGCAGTGATGTCTGTAGGGGACACCTAGCACAGCAAAATCTAAAAGTTTGGCAGCACAATACATAGTTGCCATGGGAGCAAGAGGAAAATGAAATACTTGCTGCAAGCCCAGATAATATGAAAAAGCATGAACATGAAACAGCATGCCCTTGTAGATTAAAACCCATGATATTTAGGTAACTGTCCTCAAAAGCAAGTTTCTGAGAAACAACAGACTTTCTCAGCAGGTCCAAAATTGCATTTATCAGCTGGAACACATTATTTTCTCTTTCTAAAGCTGGCAAAGTAATTAGTTTCTGCATTAACAGCTTGCCGTACTGAAAGGACAGATGAGTCTTTAAAGCAGAAGAGAACTGAGGTACTGGCAGAAAGGCTAGACTTACGACAATACTTCGGACGTAGGGCAGGATGATGAAAATAGGAACAAGGATCAAACGCAGAAGATGGAGTTTATTTTAAAGATCATGCTGAGCCACTTTGACGGTTGCATCCCTTTTGGGAAGTTTCCAAAGGAAAGAGGAAAGTTTCCAAGTGCTGGGAATCACTGGGACTGAATTGAAAGAAAAATCTTTGAAGCCTTTGAAGGAAATAAACCAATCACAGAGCAGGAGCACACACAAACAATGAATGAGGCAACAGCCTGTAGGCCATCTCACTGGCATACCTACCCACCTTTAGACCCGCAGCAGCACAGGAAGTTATCCAGCAGTGCTACTTTCTCCTTCCAGGAAGCCGTGATTTTTCAAAACAGGACCAGTATTTACCCTCAGAGAAAGTTCAGCAAACATAGTTTCAAAGAAATGTAACAGGAGAAGAGAGGCCATCTCCTACTACCTTTTGGCTTGATGCTAACTGCTTCTGAATAACATGAACTATGCATGCATTGCTGTTACCTGGTAAGCTGTCCTGGCTCACGTTACTCCTTCTCTTACAGGCAGGTGATATCATAGCAGAGCTGGAATCCGTAGACGAGGACTGGATGAGTGGAGAGCTGCAAGGAAAAGCTGGGATATTTCCCAGGAACTTTGTTCAAATTTTAAGAACACCATGAAGTGTTGCCTGTCTTTGTACTCCCTATAAGCAGGAGAGAATGTTCTCTAGCCTGAAGGCACAGCAAAGACATCGACGTATTTTGACTATCAATGTTTTGCACTACTTTTTCTAGACAGTCATAGGAGTATCTTGAAGTTAAATGAGACAATTTTAGTCTTTTGTGACTGTGTTTAGCCATGCTTCATGAATGCTCTGAGAGCAAATGCAAGCACGATTTTTAGTGGTTTCCAGCTAGGGAAATACTGTGGTGCAGCACCATTTTAACTTAAACAGCATTCTGCTATGTTTACTATCTGGTATTACATTTGTCATGTACAACGTCTGCATAAAGTAAGCTTCCGTGGGCTTCTTTTAAAACTGTTTAAAGAGTTGTTTTTAATATATAACTACAGCACTCAGTATGTAGATAAAGTTTGATATTCAGGTTTCTTTACTGCTTGACTTCCACATTAGCAGTAGAATCCACTTGTTTTTATGACTTAGAGGACAAGAAATGTAACTTATCTCATAGTAGAAAAATATCAAATCTAGAACTGGTAAGAGGGAAAACTCAAGCAAATCTTTGTTAACTGTTCTCCTATTCTTAGCCCAAACTGCTCATATGGGAAGATCAGAAAAAACAGGTATTTTGCCTCTTAACTAATAGTATTCAAATTGGTATGAACTATCTTAAACCTCTTCTCCCTTACCCTAAATCTTTTCTAGATAGAGCTTTAGTTGTTCGACTACCCTGTTCTTCTTCAAGCACCACCCTGCCCTTCTGTCCCAGCAGCAGTTAGCTGTGATGGACAGCATTTACTCAGCTTTCTCAGCCCCCCTCGTGCAGTAGCTGCACTATTTCAGCTATTTGCCCCTCCACCCCTTTCATGTAAGTGGAAAGCCAGTCTTCACTCAGTCTGCATTTCATTTGTCGCTCAAGCACTGGAACATACTTCAGTAACACTATTCCTCTCCTTAACATGAAGGATATTATACAGCCTTGGTTTTAGCTTTCAGCAGACGCGGGATTAGTTTTCAGTTTGTTACCACGTACCAGCTATACTGAGCATCATTATAAATGGTCTGTCGAGGCCTTAAGGAAAAAATGTCTGGCAACCTGGTACATCAAGAAGCTTGAACAAAATCATTTAGTAAAAAGCAGCAGTGCGACTTGAACAACAGAAACTGAGACAGACATGACTGCGGGAGCTGAGCCGGCTGGCAGTAAATTCCTTTTTGTGACACTTGCCTTCTGACAAAGTAGTTAAACATGCACGCCTTGATAAGCAACTAACCTCTGCCTGCAACAGGAAAAATAAAGTGTTGAAGCCAGCCGGTGGGGGCAGCTCTCCTCCCCCGTCACTGCACCTGGGTTCCCATCGCAGCAGGCAGACAGCAAGGAGCGGGTGCACCCTGTCGGGGCAACCGGCCAGGGCTTGCCTGAAGTGAACACGCAGGGAGCAATCAGCACAGCACCGACACGAGGACCCCAGCACTCGTTTGCTCTGCAGATTTCACTGTGATGCTGCAGTACTCGCAAGTCTGGACGCAGGCTTTAGCACTCCAGCATTTTTTCTCTAGAAGCTTCACAAATGTGGTGTGTAGTTAAACTTGTCACCATCACGCAGCTAGAGGATGAAGATCACAAAGCTTTTGAGAGCTGAGAACTGGATTTTTACTTTCATTAAAGGGGTTAACATTATAACAATAATTGTAAATCATGCACTGTTCCAGAAGAATAGAAACGTGATTGTTTCTACAGCTGTTACTCATTTTTAACATCCCAACGAGCCTACCCTGATCTGTGGAATTCAACTTCAACCTCAGTCCACCTCTGAGAACAACTCATCCCACTCTCCAAGCTCTCCTACCAGGTGCTAAAGGTTCTTGTTTATTCAGATAGAGCAGCCCTTTCTTTATAGAGGACTCCAATGAAATGAATATGAGAGATTCCTGATTTTTCAACCATGAACTTTAGGGGACCACCCTATTCAACAGGCTTCTTGCATTATGGCCTGTGCCCAGACAACTCCACCCCCAGAAGCAGAATAGCAGTCCTCAGAAAGGACGTAGTGATGGTGGATGAGGCCAAAGTGGATGATGCTTGCTTGCTGTTTGTCTGGCAGTTTTCTAAGATTTTGATACAAGTCTCAAATTAGATCAGATTTCTTTTATATTTTTTCAGTTTCCTCACCCTCGTTTCTATAACTGTGATATTGACCATTTTTTTTCTAACTTCCATGGAATGTTTAAAGTCAGTGCCTCCCAGTAGGTCAGACTGCTCTTCTTTCATATCTCCTCCCAGTCACGCAGGAAAGGAAGAGCAGCAAAGCCTTACATTCAGTGCAAGGAGTGCCACCTAAAGGCTGTTTACATTACTGCAGACACAAGCTATTAAAGTCAGAGAAAAGTCAGTTGGCTTTTACAGGAAGGGATTTTCTTAAGACTAGATGCCTGCTATCACCATGAAACTGCATACAGATAATACAATTCCTAAGGTGTACAGTACATAATTTGCAGAAAAGCAAGAATGAGGTTGAGCACACATCTTACCTGCAGTGTAGTAGCAAATTTCAGCTGTAACCTTGGAATTCAGCCAGAGCCCATGTGTTAGTCTAATAGAAAACGTTTTGATAAACAAGGCTTTTATTGTTTGCCCCACCCTCTGGAACTATCTTCAGGAAGGAGACTGTTCTGTGTACAATTAACCGTGTGGTAAATAAATCTTTGTTAAGTCCGGTAAGTTTGTTATGGTACCTCTGTAAATTAAAAATGTATTTAACCAATAAATTTTTATAATTAAGTTGTGACTGCAATTTTATCACCTTATGTTGCACAGAGCTGACTCTCCACTTGAGGTGAGTTTTATAGATGCTACTCTGCTTGTACATTTAACCCACCCACCAACAGCAAAAAAAAAACAATAAAAATTACAAAATTATATACCTGCAGGAGCAGTTCAAGGCCGTCAGAGAACCCTGAGGGCGGTTCCAGTTGAGTCAAGCCTTTGGACTCAGGTACATTTCCCACTTCTCACCTGCAGAACGCCTGGTGCTGCTACCTGCAGCAATCAGCCGGCCTCGCGGGGTATGGCACAAGATGGCCATGCTCTGTGACAAGACCTCGTGACAACGACAGAGGCTGAGCCTCAACTGTCAGCAATTAATTGTGTGCGTGCTTGGTATTCATACCCCAGGACTTTTCAGCTGAAATTTTGTATGGAAAATACAATAGGTGCACGAGAGTTCCCTTTCTGCTTACTTTTGCACATTTAAAGTTATTTCAAAGCATACATTTACACTATATGTTAATGCTGAAAAAAAAAAAAAAAAAACATACACACAAAGCACTGCTTTTTGAAAAACTGGAAAAGCAAGTTTTTGTTCTTTCCTAAGATGCTCTTGCAGTAGCCCTCCTGCAACAGCTAAAGGACAATGTAATGTGATGAAAGGCGTTTTTCACAAGCAGAAACAGTATCCAGGCTTACTACGTCTCCTATTATAGATGAGTACAGGCCAGTTTAGTCCCTGAGGATTTGTTTGGTGGAATTACTGCTAAGCAGAGGAAATACTAACAACACTTTTTTTTTTTACTGGAAAGCTCTGACAGATCTTTGCCCTAATGCAGGGCTTGAATATACGCACATACATGTACACATCTGCACTAAAACAACTGCAGGTTCAAGTTTCAATTTTTCAGCCTTGCAACATCTACTCCAAACCATGGTTTGTTTTTCACTCCAGTGAGAAGTTTTTAGTTTTGCTGGAGAAGTGAAAAGGAATTGGTTCCAATCTATGGCTTCACAGTATCAATCCCTACCGAGGACTCTTGGAGAATTACACCTGCCTCCTGAAGCACTACACCAAACCTTACAAAACTCAGCAGCTGCCTGTAAGCACTATTTCAAGATGTATCTTCGTCAGTACAGAAAAGCAGAACATAAGAAAGATCAAAAGCAGCACTCCCCCTTAGTCCTGTTTCAATGTCAGTTTTGAGTACTCACTACCTTTCTGCTACTAAACTGGAAAAAGAACAAGGATGCCTGTATTGGCCAGCCAAGAAAGGCAAGTTAACTCAAGTATTAAGTCACTGACTGTAATCCCTCTCATTATTAAGATTTTGTGTATAAACACACAAATATTGCAGATACTGTACTCCTTTATTTGCATTACTACTTGCAGTAAAATTCCTCAGACCTGAGTTCCCCACTTAGTAAATCTACAGGTGGCAATGCTGGGCACTTGGCATGGTGGACAGCTGAGAACTCACTGGAGTAGGAACAGAGGAATGTGAGGCAGTAGTGAGCACCCTATCACATCCCTTTCAGCCAAAGATCTGTGCGCCCATTAAGCTTTGAAGAATCGCATCATATTCCAAGTTTCTCCCACACCTACCTTTGAGTCGAGGGAAACTATTTTAACTTCCTTTCATAATCTTTAGTAAAAAGCTAAAAAGTGTTTTCTTGTACTTACTGGCTTTAACTGGGCACCTCTGCAGCAGTTTACATGAGTTCCATAGTAAGGAAAACAAAAATCCACTCAGAGCCTCTCTATGTTTACTGCCTACCCAATTTTGGGCTGGGAGCCTTCCTGCGACAGCATTTTGAGCACTTAATCCCTGACAAGCCCATCTTAGACCTAAGCAGGAAGCCCCAAATCAAGACACTGAATCACACCAGACCTTGAAAGATTGTGAATCAGCAAGTCTTCTGTTTACTGAAAGCTTTCTCATTGCAACCTGAGGTGTTCTACCATTATTAAAAAAACCCTGCCTTGTTTAAAGCCATGTACCTCACAATAAAACATCCCAAGTGCCCCATTCACATACTTTTAAACCGAAGATGGGAAATAAAAGGCCTAATTCTTCCTGTCACAAGCTTGTACTCAGGCCTGTGAGTGTATCAAACTTAACCACTCACCTGCATTTCAAGAATACAAAAGTCAGTGCAAGTACTCTTAAATGATCTGCTGAGTAATTTAAGTGCTTTATTTAAAAAAAAAAAAAAAACAGATCATTGCCTTTTTACAGTAGAAATACCCCCGTCTCCAACTTCCACAGGTTTCTGAAGTGTGATTAGTAACCACAGTTCTGACTGCAGGTGAATTACACGCAACCCTACTCTCAAGCATATTTTTCATGTCTACATTGCTTACAGCTCTAACACTACTTCCATAATCAAAATGTCAACTTTCATTTAAAAAGATGATCACTCTTGGTATCAGAAGAGTTATCTACCTCATGAGAGATCATATCAAATAAATTATCACCAAGAAGTTTAAACACATATATAATTAAGTTGACTAGAAAACCCAGAAGACGCCCTTATAATACGATATTCTGAAACAAAAGTTACACCTACAGAAGTTAATGCTTCTGGACACATCCACAAGAATTTCTTTTGTGAGGACCAAAATTACTGGGGAAAAAACGCATAGAAACGTTAGCATTTTATTTTCAAATAGTACCTTTCAAAAAGGACAAACCGCCTTCTTCCACTTACCTTGCAACACCAGTCTTGATAAACTGATCTCCAAAACAATCACTTCTTCCTTTTTAAACCAAGGCAGTAGACGTTTACCTCATTAAAAAAACAATCCGCGTCCAGTACCAATATTGTCTAGCAGCAATACAGGCAACCAAACACTTAATCCGTATAATAAAACTTTTATTTTTGGTCAATTTGTAGTTTTAGACGGACTCTTGCACAGGCGGCTCATATCCATCAGCTCGTTCTACTTTAGCACCTGCCTCATCCCCAGAGGGCTTCCCGGCACCACCACCTTCACCATGCAGTTCCATCAGCTTGCCCACTGCAAGGAGATACAACAGTGAGATACACCCCTGTTTAAAGCAGTTTGAAGTTACCCAACTGCTCACTGCATACAAATTAAACCACCAGAACACTCAACATAGGATCAGCTCCATTCCAGCAAGCGCATACAAGGAGATGATGCTGAATTAACTGACAGTCAGACATAAAACAGAAGCCAGCAGTGGAGTAAGGTACAGCCACATACGTTCTTACAGTTCTAAGAACCTACTACATTTTATGGGAATGTCAGAAAATGGGGAAATTAAAATCATTCCGTGTCATCTGGGACCGAAACATTTTGTCATCATTCATTCCCAAGCCAAAGCCTTTAAGCATCCAGTTTCAGGCAAGAACTTCAAAAAGCTCCAGAGTAATCACTGCTTGGCTTCCAGGCCTGCAAGCTAGATGTCTGACTAGAAGGGCAAGCCGTCACTACTACACCTTCATAATCTTTTGATGCTGCTTTCGTATATTTTTCCCAAAGCAAATGCATATTCAAGTGTTTTGCCACCCCCCCTCTTAAAACTTCGGACGTGATTAGTAATTGACTTACATTCAAACTTGGGCTTCTTCAGCATCTTGACTTTGCGGACATAGACATCGTGAAGCGGGTAGATGGACTGGCAGGCCTTCTCTATGTCTTTGCCAATGCTGTCTGGGATCCTGAACAGGGAGAGCAGTGATACAATGTTAAAACTCTGCCTGCTTCCTCATCAGCAACATGCACAGTAAGTAATTCCTAAGAACACGCAACACTCGACAGCATCTTGCATCTATACTACCTTCACTCTCTGGCAATTTGGGTAAGCATGCTTTGATTATAAGATGTTATCTTCCTTGCAATGTTAGCAGGAATATAGAGCAAGCATGGCCACGTAGAGACAAAGCCTGCGATCTAACTTCAGGCAGCACGCAGTATTTTGGAAGATGTCACTGGAAGAAACCAGAACATTCACAACCTCAAGTGATCAGAATTACCACTTTGGTCTTTAGAAACATGAATCCAAAATCTCTGGAGGGCCTGATTTTACATTTACGCAAACACGATGGCTGACAGCAACGATGCAGAGAGTGTTTAAAGCAAACGGCACCTCAGCTCTTCGGTGCCAGAGACACACCTCGCCCGATCCCTGCCAGTCAGTCAGGGAAGCACTGGCCCCCAGTTAGCGCTCAGTAACTACCAGACAACTATCGGTACTGCAGCCAAGGGAGGAAAACCACCAGAGCTTACAGCTTGTTGACAACTTCTTTCAGGTCGTTGGTTTGGACCTCTCGGGTCATGATTTCCATCATCTTCTTGCGAATCTGCCTGACCTGCTGGTGCTGGGCATAAGAGGTCTTGCGGATTTGGTTATTGCGCTTCTTCGTGAAACCCACGCAGAAGAGGCGCAGCAGGTAACCATCGGTAGTTTTGACGTCAACATGGGCTTCAATCATTGTCTGGAGAGGAGGGGGGGAAAAAAAAAAAAAAAAAAAAGAGTCAAGCACCATTACCGCAACAGGTTCATTTACACCTGCAGGTACCATTTCCACGACTGCTTTAAAACCCACCGGTAGCTGCCTCCTCTTCCTAAAGAGGACAGCAACCCCGCAGAGCTCGTTCCTCACGCACCTGCCACTTTTTGACCATGGAACACATTTTATCCCGGGTGAGGTCCATTCCATGGAAGTTGGTCAGACAGTTTTTGCCCTGCACGTCCTCAGTTATCAGTTTAAATTTACGGAAGGCAACCTCATCGTTCTGCAGATCAGCCAGACTCACTTCAAATACACGACCCTTCAGTCCATCAGAGGCAATTTCTGATTAGGGAACAAAACAATACACCTTTTATTAATATTAGAGAAGTATCGTAAAAGTCAGACACTCAATTTCCATCTGATCTTTTCTAGTTGCAGGTGATGCCACTAGATTCATTGCTTTCAAGTTTAAATGCATCTTGAATACGACCGGATCAGCTCAACCAACTACTGTCACTCATTAAACAGCAATCTTTAAGTAAGTTACACCAGACGCTGAGCACAAACACTGCTATACTGTAAATTCCAGTATGTGTGTATTTATTTATTTATTTATTTTTAAGTGGGAGAGGCTATGAAGTATTTTAAAATACGGTAATGAAAAAAAAGCCACGTGTACTTATGAGAGATGAAACAGTAACAGGTATTGAGCACAGTCAGGTTGTTTCACATCCCTGCCTTTAACAATTAGCTATTTTAACATCAGCAGACTCATCCTTGGTTTAGAGTAACCCTTATTTTAGTATTTCACATTACACAGCTTAAAATAATGATTACCTTCATAACTCACAGTGCAAGCAGGAGACCATAAAGTAACTCTTCCTACATAAAGTAACCCATTCTACACAGCTAACCTTCCAAAAACACTGTTATTTCTATCCAGAGCTCTCTGCTTTCCTAACAGAGGCTCCCTGTTCCTCAGGTGTGTAGATCAGATTAGAAATAACAAAGCAAACAAAACTTTACCCATTCTACATATGCTGCTGTTAAGTTTGAAACTCCAGCTCTCAACAAAGATCTCTTCAGTAAAGGCTTTGAATTTCAATCCTTCTTATGACCCTGTTACAAGCAGGGTGCCGTGCTACACTGTCTCCACATCTCGCCTTCTGACATTCAAAAGGATCACTTAACTTTTGTCAAGTTAATCTGCTCACAGCAGCAGCCCATCAGAAACTTCAGCCTTGTCTTTCTGTAGCACATCCACAGTTTGGTACTCTTACAGAAACAAAGGCTGTGACTTAGAGCTAACTCCCTCACATCCCCCCCCCCCCTTTTTTTTTTTTTTTTTAATTCCAAGTTCATAATTGCGACAAGCAAGAACTGCTTGTCAGCAGCTCTCTGACGGAGTCCCATTCGCATCTCCCACATGGAGCACGTAACGCATGTGCTTTCCCAAGCCAAGCCCCGGTACTCACTAGTTCCTTGAGTCCTGGTGACAAGCGTCTTCCCGATGTTTCTGATGTTGAACATGGCTGGCGCCTTGACATCGTACCAGTCCTTCTTGGAGAACGGGTCCACCCTTCGTTGGGACAGAGCAGAAGAGGCATTCAATATCTTTCCCGGATCAGACCCGCCCGGCACAAGCTCCCCTCTCCCTTACGGCCTGCGGGAGGAGGCGCGAACCCCGCAGGCACCCGAGGGGCCGCCCAGCCCCAGCCCCAGCCCGGGCCCAGCCGGGCACACGCCACAGGTGAGGCCCAGGCCCAGGCCCGGGTCCGCCATGACAGCAGCCGCCATCCACCCCCATCCGCTGCCATCCTCCACCATCCGGCCCCATTCGCGGTCCCCCGCCGCCCCCCGGCCCACATCCCGCCCCTGCCGTGCCGCTGCCGCCCTTACACTTTCTTCTTGGCGCCCTTCTTGCCGCCCTTGGTGAGCCGCTTGTTCTTGCCGACCGCCATCGTGCCGGCCCGCCCGCCGAAAGGCCGCCCGCCGCTCGCGCGAGACTTTACGAGAGCGCGCCTCGCGCGAGACCCGCGGCGGCCCCGCCCGCCCTCGCGAGAACGGGGCCGGGGCCGGGGCAGCGCCGCCCCTCAAGGGCACCGGGTCCCGCCGCCCTCAGGGCAGCGCCACTGGTGGGCGGTGGGCGCTGTGCCCTCAGCGGGCTGTGGCTCGGCTGTAGCTCCCTCGGAGCAGCCTGCTGTGTGAGTTAGCAGGTCACGGTGCATGGTCACAGCAGCTTCCAGCTTCCTCATGAATAATCAGCTCCCATCGCCCCTCGTGCACTGCAGGGCACGGTGCCGCGCCTCACAGAGGGCTCGTACTGCCCTGTGTGTTCCACGCGCTTCATCCTGAGGCACTTATTGTTCGTAAGTCCAGCAAAACCCATAAAAACCCAGCCTAGAAGCTAAGGAAGCACACACACCGTGTGATCCCAGCTGCCCAGGCTCTGGCAGTCACGCTGCAAGCACAGTAATTAATACTACAAGATGTCCTGGCTGGTTTCTCAGTAGCCGCATTACACGGGAGATGTCTGAGGACCAGCTTAAAGCCCTGTGAGCGCAGCTCACCAATTCCTTGACTTCCCCCTTCCTGCTTGCACATCCTTCCACTCATCAACCGGAGCCACATGCTGAGGGCACGGGAAGCACACCCTGCTATGAGCAGCACACCCTGCTCCGTGATGGGAGCCCTCCTTCCAGCAGGGTGCCCGTGTGTGGTAGCTCCAGCTGCAGCGTGGGCTCGGTCCCACACCAGGTGCCTGCATGGTGCTCAGCAGATCAGGGACTGAACCACCCAGCTCTCAGGCAACTGCTGTCCCCGGACAGAAGCAGGAGCTCTGCCTTGCCTGTGGTGGAGGATCCCAGCCCCGTCCCTCTGCAGCGCTACAACTGCTCGCCGGCAGCACGGCTCTGAGGCTGGGGCTTCTGGATCTGTTCGGAGTCGTGAGTTACAACATGTCCAGGGTAATAAAAATCCTGCACTTGCGAAGGGGTAGTTGTCAGCCACACAAAAGCCATCTGTTATGTTTTACAAATGAAACCAGAGCAGCAGGCACAGTTCTGATTACTTCATCAATTTCTTTCACGCTAGCCTGGAATTTCATCTGCATGCCTACAGCAACTGGATTCCATCAGCAGCTCACACTATCAGACAGAGAGCTTAATCAGACAAAAGCAGACCTCCTGCTTACTACCTCTTTGGTAATCAGGCTTCAAGGAAAAAAAAAATAAAAGAGAAAAATGAAAAAACAACAACAGAACACTTCAGGTTTTTCTCCTGAATGGCAGGGAAAAAGACCTCCAACGTGAGAAGGTGAAGCCTCCTTCTCCAAGCTGTAGGACTGCAAGAGACTCTTCCCTATTTTCCTGTGTTGTCAGCACATTGTTAATTAGGATTCCCTGCTGCAGATTGAGTTAACTGCAAAATCTCACCTGCACAAATAAACCACTTCTTCTAGTTCTGGAAATTATGCATCTCCAGAGGACAGCTTTTGAGGTTTTCCTAGACGTTTCGCAGTGAGATACCACCTATAATCTGTTCACCTGTCAGTACTTGCCCTTGTTTTGCCCTGCCCAGCAGCTGAAGGCTTTCTCCACTCAGAGACTCCCATACACAAAAAGATCAGCAATTTTATTCCTCGGTGCTTCCCTCCTAAGTGAGTTTGGAATCAGCTGTAAATGAGAGGTGATCCGTGAGGCAGAAACAACAACAACAAAAAACAGCAAAATCAGAGGAGCCTGACAAACAGGGTAGGAAGCCCACCAGAAAGAAGGTCACACCGGATCAGGTCAATTGCCCTGGCACTTCAGCTTGATGTTTTTGCCCAGTATTTCAAACAGACAATTGAAAAGGTAAGCAAATACTTCAAAAGCCTGTAGCAGTCCGAGCAGCTGAAATGTTTACAGTTCTTTTCTTCTCTCTTTACACATTTTCTTTAGGAGGAAGTGTCCATTTAACCTTGATCCAACTTGGAAACTAGCCCTGTTTTGAGCAGGGATCAGGCTAGAAGGCCTCCGAAGCCCCTTGCATCCTAACTCCTTCTGTGACTCTAGACTGTGCCAAACAGGAAGCTTCTTTTGGCCCTTGATTTTATGCCTCAACACAATTTCAGGCAGTTCCAAAATGGAACAGATAATCTATCAACTCCAAACTACGTTATCAAGAAGCATTTTCACCCTTCTTTCCCACCTTTTTTTCAACAATGAAAAGGGAATTTCCCTTTCTCTGTTTCCTTCTTAACTTGCACCGAGCTGTACAACTTCACCTGCAGCTCTGTAGCTGAGGTGAAGGACCGGCTGGTTTTTATTTCTTTTACAGTCACTTCCCTGTTGGCTGTGATAATTCAATTCAATGGGGTTGGCTTGCTCTAGTTCTTAAAAAGGGCAAAGATTTCTAAATATAGATATCAGAGAACAGTTCATTAAATCAAGCCTTGTCGTTAAGAGACTTCTTTTTTCCCTTTAAGCATCCTTCACAACTGAAGTAGTCAAGGCAGAGGGCCACTCTTTACTCTGTTGCTATCGTGTTGCTCTAGGTAACAGGGAAAAAAAAAAAAACAACACACCACACACAACCCAACAACAACAAATCAGTCAAGCTCTACAAGATTTCCCCTTGTGAAATCCTTTGTCCTTAGGGAATTTAAGTGTGTGTGTGTGTGTTTTTTGTTTGTTTTGTTTTGTGAATAACCCCACACATTGTTTTGCAGAGCTCTCTCTGCTTTAAGTAGCATTTTCCCTTCATTTTTTACAGCTATAGCTGGCTACACAAATACAACCTAGCATCCCATGAGCCCCCTATGTGCATTTGCAGTTAAGCAATGCTCCAAAAGTGTTTTTTTTTTCCTTTGTTTTTTTCTTTTTTAAAGCAGAGCAAGGAAATTATTTCTCCAAATATCATTTCTCGGAAATATCAAGTAACATTTCTGTTCTCTGGTCAGGCTCCAATGAGGAGCTCAGACATAAAAGTGGAGGAAAGGGAAAAAAGGCAAAAATAAGCTGAAGAAAATGGCACCCTTTCTGCTGAAACAGTTTGATAACTCTACAGGTTAAACAAACAATAACAACAAAGGAAAACACAACTTATTTTGACTAAATTGCAGACAGCAGTATAGATTACCTGTAAGAAAACACTAGGCAAGTGAGATTCAAAATTGTTTGCAGTCTTTTACTGTAAATTATTTTATGGGTAGCACCACGAGGAAGTTGCTTTCTTTAGGAAACTCAGTGCTGCCAGCCTGTAACGTGAAGAGGAGCTCTGGCTTTAATGACAGAGGTCTACTTGTAACAGGAAGGCTTTGTGGATAAAGGGAGCATTTGCCTCCTAGCGTAAGGGACTGCAACCCCCACCTAGGGGTAGATGCACTTTCATAATTCAGAAGCAGGGACGTTTTACGTTGCTCCCTATAAATCTTTGGAAACCCAGAGGAATCAACATTTCCTGTCTTCTGCTCTAGCTTTCTCTATTTCTCTTGAAACTGCTTAACAGGTTTGGGGTTTCATCTCTACCACCCTTTATTACTAGCCTTTGCAATCACATTCCTCAACATGAAGGGATTCTGTTGTACCCTTTCCTTCTAGTTTTAGAGGTATTTAATTATCAGAAACTTGCCTGTTCTCAGCTTCCCTAAACTAAATCAATCCCAAGCATCTTTCCACAGATTAGAAGAAAGAAGTTGCTATCCCTGTCACACGATGCAGATGAAATAAAGGGCACCTTTAAAGTCTCAGAGAGCTAATAGCACACAGCTCAGTTAATGCTTCAGGATATGACTTTCTTAAAAAAGGGACGTGCAAGTCTTGTTCAGTATTGCCCTTCCAGATGTCCAGTCTGAACAAAATGGAATTCTATTAATCCTGTTCAAGTGATCATCCTTTTTATAACACTTTCTTCTTGATAGTTGCAAAAATTTTTTTAGAAATATATTCCAAAGGAGTTTCATCTTACAGTGCCTCTTAAACAAAACACCACCACCAAAAGAAAACATAGCAAAGCCAGACCCTTCTATACAATCCTGCTTTATATACATATAGACCATACATACGGTTATTAAGTAATCAACAGAAACCATGCTTTTTTTTTTTTTTTTTTTAAAAACATATGTATTTTAACTCACCAGGTTAAAACCCAAAGACCTACTCTAAAAATCTAACTGTAGTGTTGGGCCCTTCTTTCTGACCTATGCAGCCAACCTAGTTAAATATGTTCAACTTCAGAACAGAAATTCTTTTTAAGAATGCCTGTTTTAGTTTAATAAAGGGAAAACTCCAGAGACCTAGCTAGATTTTGTTGCTCTCCGTAACAGAGGTTTTTTTTCTAAGATGTAATATTTATGAATATACTGCATAACAAAGTATTCTTACATAACTTATTTATGTACTCATGATCGAGGAAGCAATTACCGGCATTTTACTTAGTATCGAAACCAGGAAGATTATTCTGACTAGATGTAAAAAGGCAATCTTCCCTTTTATTTTAGTTGTTGTGAAGCACACATAATACACACTGTTCCCAGATTTCCCTTAGCTTCTGCCTGACTTGCAGCACAAAGCACAAGCTGTTTGTTTTAAATTCCCCTCTCCCATTCTCAGAAAGCTCATACAATTGTTCTGGCACTTCCAGGTTGGCAAGTTTCATTGACAACATAAGCATATTTCTTGCTATGCCAGGCATAACTGGCAATAATAATATTAATTATAATAAAATAATATAAAAAAGCAGAAACAACTCTGCATCTCTGCAGAGCTGTGATAGAACCTGAGGTCTTGCTTCCATGGCAAATTCACTTAGATTAATATACATGTTCATAAAACCCTCCAGTGCAGGAAAAGCATTAGGGTTTGCTCTGTATAGCTCTTTTTACTTTTGTCTACAACAAGCAGTTATTCACAAATATACGCATCACGCCTAAATTTCATCTGGTTAGCTGTAATAGTTATCAGTTCAGGTGTAATTTAGGCAGAATATAGCAGGTACTGAACGCTTTGCCATCAATGTTTATTCTTGGTGAAAGGATATATTTTTGTAGCACTGCTATAGCTTATTTTATGTTCTGCCTATGTTTTTGCTTCAATTACATTTATTTAGCTAGCTATAAGTATTTATACCAGTGCCTAAGTCTGGTTGCAAACAGCTGTATGCCTCATTTGACAATATTTTCCTTAGCTCCTTGGAATCGTGGTGGTCACACCAGAACCTCTGTGTTTTCCCAATTCCCTTGCATGAATACAGCTTTCTTCCTTTGCAGGCCCTCATTAATTAAAAATACTTTAAATATTTTGAATCCCACTGTAGCAAAACACTGTGGCATAACACATAAATTACTGAGAAAAAAAATACTGCTTGCACAGCTCCCCTCCAGCACTACTAACAACAGGGCAGCACGCTGTGCTTCCAGCCCCTCTCCCCCTGGTGTTGTACTCACTGCAGCAGCAACCTTCTACTCTTCTCTCCCTCTGCTCCACCATCCAGGCCTTATCTGCCCTTCCCTTGAAAATCAGGCCTTCTGCAGCTGCTTTAGGGTGGTGATCCCATACCATAGGGTAGGGAAGAGATGATAGCATGGGGTATTTTTGTGTTGAGCCCCGCTTTTGTCAGTTACCAAAATATACAGAGATAAAGCTGGGAATGGGGGCTGAGCAAGTTCCTAAGACAGGTACATACAACCGTTGTGCCAGTTTTATAAGGCCACGAGAGCTGTGATTTGGTTCAAAAAAAGGTGTCTGATAATTATTTGTATCATGGAGTAAGTGATTCTGAAAAGGGCATTCTATGTAGTGGTAGTTGTTTTAATATTTCAGATTATTTTAAGTAGTCTATTTTGCCTGCTTGTTCTGCTGCTACAGCTGGTGTGTTTTTGTGTGGCTGCATTAGTTGCATGGTTTAATTGCAAAACATTGTTTCCTTGCAGGTACTTATTTTATTTGTTAGCTTTGGTTGGTTTTAAGTACAGTTTAAAACCATGTATATTAATTTGGGTCTTTAAGGAATGGTTGTATGCTACCTCTTAATTTTTACTTATGGAAATGAAGCAGGATGGGGCCAAATAATTCCTGTGCTTTATAATTTTCTGCTCCTTTAGATTCCACTTCAGTGGACTATTCAGGCTTACTTGTTTGAGGACATTTACGTGTGAAGTATTTGCATTGAGGAAAAAAAGCAATCAACTATTCTCCCTCCTTTCCTCCCTGTTTTGGCTAAGCAAGTATATGCAAATAATTTATTATCAAGATTTATCTATTTGTTTCTAAAATTTCTGATTTTGTGGGTATTTTCTAGATGAGTTTGATATTTACCCATAATACTGGTAATTTTCTGCCTGTATTGACTTACTGACTTTTCCTGAAACTGTACTATCGGGCATCTTTTTTTGTACAAATTCTTTTTTTTTTTTTTTTTTTAAATCTCATTATTATGCTTTTCTACAAGCTCTGATTTTTCTCTGAAAGAGTATTTTTTTTTTTTTTTCAAAGCGCATGGGTAAAGTGAGTGAATATTTTCTTTATCGGTTATTCCCTATCAAATTTGCCTATGCTGCAGGTTAAAGTCTTTCTCCCTTGACTGCCAACTCAGCTATCGTTAATCATGCAATTTAGTCTGATGATAATTTATTCCATCTAATGATGCATGAGATGCAAAAAAGCCCAAAGGAGGAGTCTGTGGGAGTGGAAATTAGGAGGGAAAAATTCCCAAACCAAACATTGCCATCTTTTTTCCTTGCAAACTCAGCATATCTTTGCTGAAATTACTGAGACACCATGGAGCCCTGCTTTTTTTTACAATCTCTTGGTGGTGGAGTCACACTTTAAATCACTCTGCAAAAGCATGACTTAGTTAACACTTCATTATATGA